GGGGGTGCGTGTGTGTGTATGTGTGTACGTGGTGAAACAACAAACCAATGTGCCAGGATCTGGACAATACAGATGTATCTAATCTTATTCACTGGCAATAGCTAGTCTGACCTCAAGGAAGACCTGTGTGGTCGCGGCACCGGCCAGGAGACAGGGGGTGTCAAAAGCTGCCAAACACGTCTGCATAAGCGCAATATCTATTCGGAGACGGCTCCGACGGAAATGGACCAATCAAAATGCTTTGTGCCTCTTGACCACGTAATAAAATACGAGTGGTTACATGGGGGGATTACCTGTCCTGGGCAGCAACGTCATTGCACACCGGACAGGTCCATAAGTGCTCAGATCTCCCCTGCACCAAAGCCCGCAAGGTATCCATACTGATTGTTCCGGTGGCTGTCTGATTATGGCGACGTCTTTCCCTTCCAGATAATCGTTTCTTTCTTCCTTCTCCTCTCGCTATCCCCATTTCCCACATCCTAATGATTGCGCGGTGTTCTGTTGTCTCCCTGTCTTCTTCATCCCGCAACTTTTCCTCCAGGGTCTTCAACACTTCTCATTTGTCAAATTTCACCTCACCATCAACCACGGCACTGCCTGCCAGTCAATCAGCCCCCCTGTTTTAAACCATAATTTGATATTTTGCAGTCAAGTTAGACATTTTCAAGAAAATCTTGATTTGCGACAGTTTTAGTGTCTATATGTGTGATCTGCATCAAATAATACAGAGTTTGACCCCCAAAAGCAGTGCATCTGTGCGCCGGAGTACGTCTCCGAATAGTTCCTGTTTGCACGCCAGAGACGTTTCCAAATATCGTCTGCCCTACATTAGACTTCTGAGGGACGAGACGGGATACAGGGGGGCCTTGAAATTTGTCACCGCGCTACCAAAGATCGTACATAACAAGATTGTTTTGGGTACCGATACCTGCCCAGCCCTGCTGTAAAGTAGGACGCGTTCTGTGTATTTATTGCTGCGTCATTGCTAGTCTGTCCATACCATTAGCCAAACATAGCCCTGTCCCCGTCCTACAGACTTGTCTCAGCTACAGGCCTGGTGCAACTGACACAACTCTGACGTCATTTATAAAAATACAGTAATTGCAGTTTTCACAATTTTACGAAAGAAAACCCCCCCAACAAATTGCATGTTACTAATAACACAAAAAACCAAACGCTTTGAACACTTCCCAAGTCAGTGTTTTAAATAATACAGTTAATTCTGATAATAACTTCCTTAAAATCTTTAAAGGAAATGTAGTTTCTTTTGTAACAACATTCAGGCTTTTTTTGCTCGCCTGTAAAACTGTAAAACCTGCACATACTATGTTTT